GTTTGCAAATTAATTCCAGTTCAGCTTGCGTGCCGCCTTCGGCACCTGTGCCATAGGTTGCCTACCCCTGATCTAGATCATGATATAAAATCTTGGCTGGTAAATATGCCGGTGACACAAAGATTGGTGCGGTGGTGTCACAGTCGCCTGTATGGTCTGGTTAAATGGTCACAATCCAACAAAACGTGATTTAATACAGCCAAATGCACGGCAGTGTATCTGGGAACCAAGAACACAGGTTATTTCTACCAGACATGAGACTTTGTCTTGCGAAGCAGCAACTCACAAAAGGACTTTGTATGGCCTCAACGTGAGCCGTGAGAGGTGACATTGTCTCGGTGTCTAGGTTCTGACACATGGAAAGGAGAGCTGACACCAAGGGGCTTTTCAGGCTAGCAGACAAAGCCATAACAAGGTCCAATGGCTGGAAGTTAGAGCTGGAGAAATTCAACCTTGAAATAAGATGCCGTTTCCTAGCTGCGAGGGTGATTAACCACTAGAACAGCTCACTGTGGGAGGTGATGGTGTCTCCATGGCTTGGAGTCTTTAAATCGAGGTCAGATCACTTTCTAGAAGATACGTTTTACTGCATCTTCGGGCAGCAGTGCTCTGGCCTGTGTGTGACGGACGTCAGGCTAGATGAACATCGTGGTCCCTGCTGGTCTGTGAATAAATTACTGGTTGGGCCTGTCCTCTGTGTGCCCACACTGAATGTGATCAGGTCATGATCCCTGGTCTCTAGACAACCACCAGCTTCCAGTCTAGTGATGAATTCATCTGTATCCATCAGAATGAGGGCCAAAATAGCTACCTCGTGTTGGGGGTAAGAACATAAGAATGGCCACACTGGGTCAGACCAAAGACCCATCTAGCCCAGTATCCTGTCTGCTGACAGTGGCCAATGCCAGGTGCCCCAGAGGGAACGAACAGAGCAGGTAATCATCAAGTGATCCATCCCCTGTCGCCCATTCCCAGCTTCTGGCAAACAGAGGCTACTGACACCATCCCTGCCCGTCCTGGCTAATAGCCATTGATGGACCCGTCCTCCATGAACTTATCTAGTTCTTTTTTGAACCCTGTTACATTCTTGGCCTTCACAACATCCTCTGGCAAAGAGTTCCACAGGTTGACTGTACGTTGTGTGAAAAAATGCTTCCTTTTGTTTGTTTTAAGCCTCTTGCCTATTAAACACCCCTTGTGTTAGAATATTATCACTAATGTTTAGAAACTTAAATGAGGTTTTACTACTGGCTGCAGGAGACCTCCCACACCTCTCCCAGACTAAAGTCCCCCTGTGACGTTATTGGCATAATCTGGGACCATATAAACATGGCTGCAGCCAAAGTCCTGTTGGGATCCACTAGACATAGCTACCAGGTAACTCGGGAGAGTGGAAAGCCAAAGTGTCGATGAAACTCTTTTGCTCTGGGCCTATCTGAAACCCCCAGACTCCATCTTGTGAACTGTCATCTACTTCTGTGCTAACTGCTTACAATGTTAAAGCAGAAATGTATTGGTCAGCGTTTCTGGCAGATGGCTGCGGTTTCACTCACACTAGCAGAAATAATAGAGATGAGGAGGAGGGAACAGAGAGAGATAGTTAGTTTGCAGTTGCTTTCCCATATATCCCCAAGGTATTTAGTGCAAAGGGTCAAGGGATGTACCTTGTTCTCCCTTCAACATCATAAATGTATCCGCAACAGATGTCTCTTGTATCCCCTTCCCCAAAATAATACATGTATTCTGTGTAACCTGTTATCTATAGGTCAGCATAATGACGTAAAAAGGATGAGAAGTGAGTTGTTTGTTACTGGTTATAAAAAGGGCCTATGTTGCCCATGTAAGGTGTGTCTCTTCTGGCATAAGTCGAGGAGCACCCTCTCAGCTGACTGACAAATAAAGGACCTGGTACCCGTCTTCTTGTCTCTCCGTGCCTCCTTGGTGTAATTAGGTAAGCTCCGGGGGGAAACGGGCCCTATTTGGCCAACAGTCCTGTAGTGGCACCAAATCTTGTATAAAGGGGGTCAAATGAGGTGTCTAAGACAAGGTTATGGTTTACTGGTTATGATTATGCTGTCTATATGTGTGTATCAATTGTGTAGTTGAAGTTATGAATATTGGCTCTATACTGTCTGTATTTCAAACTTATGCTATGCTTCTGGGAAACATCCCAGACAAGTTGTGTTAGCTCTGCCTAGCCTGCTTGATGGCCCATTAAGGACCATCAGCTATACAATTGACCCATGGAGAGAAGGTAAATACGCCTTGTGACTCAGCAAAGTATGCAGGAACTTGCCCATGTGACTCCAGACTCCATCTTGCTGTAATTTTCCACAGTAAGAACAAAGAGGTGTTCTTACACCTGGAAAAGACCATAAAAAGGCTGATGCCTCATTTCCATTTGATCTTCAATCCTGCTTCTTACCTCTGGAGGGACTTTGCTACAAGCTGAAGCTTTGAACAAAGGACTGAGGACCCATCCCAGCCGGGGATGTATTCCAGAGACTTGATTTGAACCTGCAGTTTATTCCATCGCTGCTGCAAGCCTGAACCAAGAACTTTGCCATTACTGTATGTAATTGATTCCATTTAACCAATTCTAACTCCCATCTCTATCTTTTTCCTTTTATGAATAAACCTTTAGATTTTAGATTCTAAAGGATTGGCAACAGCGTGATTTGTGGGTAAGATCTGATTTGTATATTGACCTGGGTCTGGGGCTTGGTCCTTTGGGATCAGGAGAACCTTTTTTCTTTTACTGGGGTATTGGTTTTCATAACCATTTGTCCCCATAACGAGTGGCACTGGTGCTGATACTGGGAAACTGGAGTGTCTAAGAAGATTGCTTGTGAGACTTGATTATAGCCAGTGGGAGAGACCGAAGTCTCAGTCTGGATGGTTTAGTTTGCCTTAGAGGTCGAAAAACCCCCAGCCTTGGGCTGTAACTGCCCTGTTTAAACGAGTTGTCCTCAATTAGCACTC